TCCCTACTCGTTTAAAAAATCAAGGAAATATTACTGATACAAAAGAAGAGAAAAGGTGGGCTTACTGCGTTTTCCTTAACTGGCAGAGAGCGTTTGTTTCAGCCACACAAAATGCTTAAAAAAACAGAACATAGCTGGTGCAACTGGGAAAGGTGGAAGGGTGAGAGAAGGGATACCTGTAGGGGGGGAAACAGAAGGGGAAACAATGAGCGGAAATATCAGCGTGACGGAAGATTACAAGTATGGTCCCACAGGGCTCGGTACTAGAGCCCTTTCTCTTCGTGATATGTAAATGACCTGGTAGAGGAAATGCGATCACTCGTATCCCTGTTTGTGCAGCTTTTGTGCAGCTCCTCAGATCAGGTTTGTGCAGCTCCTCATCAGCTGCACAGTTGACGAGGAGAGTAAGACGCCAAGATGACTCCAGGAGAACATGGAAAGATGTCCATGTTCTCTGTCTAGACTGATGGGAGCATTGTGTCACTGCTCCCTCCCTCACTATTTCCTTGTGATCACTATTGATCACGACCTGCATGTCTCGCTTCATGCAGGTCAGCGTTCAATACCCGACCGTCTAAGTGGTTAGGCACCATTCCATTCCCCCCCTCGTCCCATCCCAAATCCTTATCCTAATCCCTTCCAAGGGCTACATAGTCGTAATGGCTTGGCGCTTTCCCCTGATAGTTGAGAGGTTGAGAAGCGGGACCAAAGAGCCAGAGCTCAACCCCCGCAAACACAACTAGATGAGTATAACTAGGTGAGTACACACACACACACACACACACACACACACACACACACCAAATAAATAAATAGCCAAATAAATAGTCAAGCCAACCATCTCTTTCCTGCAGAATCTCTATATCATAAAAAATAAGAAAATTTGATACACAGGATCTTTCTGCTCAAAGGCCATACTGACTGTTATTATATCAGTTCTATCCAGGTATTCTATCCAGGTATTCTATCCAGGTATTCTATCCAGGTATTCTATCCAGGTATTCTATCCAGGTATTCTATTCAGGTATTCTATCCATTTCGTTTTAACTATTTTTTTCTAATGTTCTGACTACCACGCTTGTCACTGATATGTCTATTGTTCAGAGAGTCTTCCCTTCTGCCATTATAGTAAAGAGGAACTATGTTTGCCTTTTATCCATATATCTACTAAGATTCTGGTACACAAAAAATGTCTGGAATATCATTTGAAGTGGAATGCTCGGACCAGATGCTCAGTCTCACGGGACACGAGGTGAAACTCCAACTGGTCTAACTGCTTTATTTTTTCCTAGCTCCTTGGGCAATTTTCAAGGAGCTCATTGAGCTCCTTGAGCAATTTTCTAGTTCGTCTTAAGACGAACTAGAAAAATTATGTTCTCAAAAATGGTGTTCCCAAAAATGGTGTTCTAAAAATGGTGTTCTAAAAAATGGTGTTCTCAAAAATGGTGTTCTCAAAAATGGTGTTCCCAAAAATGGTGTTCTAAAAAATGGTGTTCTAAAAAATGGTGTTCTCAAAAATGGTGTTCTCAAAAATGGTGTTCCCAAAAATGGTGTTCTAAAAATTGGTGTTCTAAAAAATGGTGTTCTCAAAAATGGTGTTCTCAAAAATGGTGTTCCCAAAAATGGTGTTCTAAAAAATGGTGTTCTCAAAAATGGTGCTCTCAAAAATGGTGCTCTCAAAAATAGTGTTCTCTGGAAATTGTCATTGCGACTGCTTCTCTGAAAATCTCCTTTTGTGTCTCTTCTCACTGCCGTGTTGTTTGTTGTCGCATCTTTGTATTGCTGGTATGTTTGGGAGTTTGACCTCTACATTGATTCCATTTTCTTTGTCTTTTGCTCTCTAGCCCTCTAGGCAATTTCTGTTCAACCAATCATGATTTAAAACTCTGCATCTGTTTTAATAAACATTTTGTTGTATCTTCATCGTACATTCTTACAAAAATTGGCATACATCTCATTTATTTCTCTGCCTAACAACAAGTCTTGTTTGACAAGACTTTGTTCTTTGAATCCCAATCGAATTCATTAAAGAATTTTCTAAGTTTCGTATAGTGTCCTCTCATGAAATCAGGTTTTTCACCTGCATCATTTTCCTCATTCTCTTTGAGATTATAACGCACTGCTTATTTTATTATTTACAAAAACACATGGTGGCTCTTTACCAAGACAGGAAGGTATTGAATTGATCTTTCCCTCTTTCCTACCTACCAATTCTTCTACACAGACATTATCTTTGGTTGTAAAACCTTCCCTTCTGTGGCTCTTTCTGACCGAGATGTTGTCTCATTTTCTTTGCAACCGAAAATTATTAGTGACTTCGATCAACCGTATTTTGCACCATCTTCGGGTTTGATGCCAGGTCCTTTCTGACTTCCTACCTGATGTCTGTGCTTTCCTGGTTGCTGCCGTTTATGGCTTCCTTTACCGCCTCATCTAGTATTTCTCTACGCCCACCTGTGCATGAGTAAGTTACATATCCTTCTTCCACTTTATTCCCTGGGTGACCTCGTCCATCTCTACTGACAAAAACTCCTTTTTCCTGTCGAGTTTCCTTGCCTAACTTATTGTATTGACTAAGATAATATTTCTCCTCCAGTGCTTCTACCTTAGAGCTTCCCAGTGCTCCTTGTCCTTGCTTAAACCCTGTAGTTGTTGACCTTGTAGAGCTGTTATCTTGTTATTTGATATCTTGACCTTGTAGAGCTGTTATCTTGTTATTTGATATCTTGACCTTGTAGAGCTGTTATCTTGTAATTTGATATCTTGACCTTGTAGAGCTGTTATCTTGTTATTTGATATCTTGACCTTGTAGAGCTGTTATCTTGTTATTTGATATCTTGACCTTGTAGAGCTGTTATCTTCTTATTCATTGTTATTTCACAATGTTCTTTAATTTTTGCCAACTTGAGCTCACCTCTCATGATAATATCTACCTCATGATAATATCTACCTCGTGATAATATCTACCTCGTGATAATATCTACCTCGTGATAATATCTACCTCATGATAATATCTACCTCGTGATAATATCTACCTCGTGATAATATCTACCTCGTGATAATATCTACCTCGTGATAATATCTACCTCGTGATAATATCTACCTCGTGATAATATCTACCTCGTGATAATATCTACCTCATGATAATATCTATCTCATGAAAGCCGCCACAAACTCGCTTGTGTTGTGGTGCCTCGTGTCGTCTTTACTGTTGTGTAACAACTAACTATTATTTACATAAAAGCCAAATAGTAGTCACAGATAATCGTCACGGTTAATACTGTATAATCCAGATTTAGATTAGAAACTGTATCTGTCAGTCATTTATACAAACCAACAGAGGTTAGGCTGGAGTCAAGAGGGGTTCACTCCACCTGTTCACTGTGAACAGCTGGAATCAACAGGTGTTCACTCCACCTGTTCACTGTGAACAGCTGGAATCAACAGGTGTTCACTCCACCTGTTCACTGTGTACAGCTGGAATCAACAGGTGTTCACTCCACCTGTTCACTGTGAACAGCTGGAATCAACAGGTGTTCACTCCACCTGTTCACTGTGAACAGCTGGAATCAACAGGTGTTCACTCCACCTGTTCACTGTGAACAGCTGGAATCAACAGGTGTTCACTCCACCTGTTCACTGTGAACAGCTGGAATCAACAGGTGTTCACTCCACCTGTTCACTGTGAACAGCTGGAATCAACAGGTGTTCACTCCACCTGTTCACTGTGAACAGCTGGAATCAACAGGTGTTCACTCCACCTGTTCACTGTGAACAGCTGGAATCAACAGGTGTTCACTCCACCTGTTCACTGTGAACAGCTGGAATCAACAGGTGTTCACTCCACCTGTTCACTGTGAACAGCTGGAATCAACAGGTGTTCACTCCACCTGTTCACTGTGAACAGCTGGAATCAACAGGTGTTCACTCCACCTGTTCACTGTGAACAGCTGGAATCAACAGGTGTTCACTCCACCTGTTCACTGTGAACAGCGCTCAGGAAAACTTACATCTCACCAGTGCCACAGCTTTCTAACTGACACAGTGTGTGTGTGTGTGTGTGTGTGTGTGTGTGTCACATACTTTTGTGGGTCACTTTGCTCCGACAGATGATCAACTTTGATCATATTGCTTTGACACAGCTTCAGGGGGCCCAAGCGTCACTAACGTAAGGCTCCTTCTGACACAGCTTCGTGCGGTCGCGTGTTATGATTTGATTTTAGGCTTCAGTGAAGCCAAGCTTTGACAGGCCTGTGTTAAGCTTATTTATGTTGGTTGGTCGTTGATCAACATTTTATGCGCAAATATGTTTTATAGGGAACGATTCACTTACACCCACTGAGAGTGGGGGGGGGGTGTGAGAGTGGTGGGCGTGAGAGTGGTGGGTGTGAGAGTGGTGGGTGTGAGAGAGGTGGGTGTGAGAGGGGTGGGTGTGAGAGTGGTGGGCGTGAGAGGTGGGCGTGGGAGAGAGGCGGAGCCCCACAGAGCCTGTGTCACGTGCCGCGTTCATCAGCCAAGTGGACGCTCTGTCCCCACCATCATCTTTAAGCGTGACAGAGAAGGGAGGAGGAGGAGAGAGGAGAGAGGAATGATGCGCAGGCCTACCCGCCCTCCCCCTCCCCCCTCCGCACCGACGCATACCCTCTGCGTCTTTGTTTTGACGACTTGTTTACATCTACCGTACCCCAGAGTCACCACCTCTACCAAATGAGCTCCCGTGGACACATTCCCGTCAACCAACTCCTTGCTATCGATTGTGGGGCTCTTAGCCACAATCAATACTATCGCCAGACGTACGACTCGCGTACGACACACGCGCAACGCCAACAGTTTTCCCAGCGTGAATATGCCTGATACTCTCAGCATCGCCAACGATACGTATCGCGTAATGGCTGAGATACGAACCAATGAGGGGGAAGGATTTTGGGGGGTAAATGAGTTGTGAGGGAGGTGCGGTACGACAGGTTGGGCCGGGTTGGCTAAGCATCCTCCAGCAGCAGCAGCATCCAGGCGGGAGAGGTGTCCAGCGCTCCCTACTGCCGCCACTTGCTAAATGTAAATCAGTGACCATCCGGGAACTAGTGCGCTGCTTGTGAGTGACGGCGGTGCGTGAGTGCGCGTGAGTGCGTGTGGTGGTAGGGGCGGTGGTGGTAGTGCGGCTCTGTACCTCTACTACACACCGGGGGCGCCCAATCACCGACAAGAAACGAGCTATAATTAAACAGTGCGCATTTTGTTTTCATTTCTCGTAGAGATTTGGTAGTGAATCGCTGTGTCTTGAGCCGTCCGCAGGCAAGGCAGAAACCTTAATACAACAATGTAAACAATGCTATACCACTAAAAAAGCAAACAGAACATTCCTTGTGGTGAACAGAACTGATAAACGTGATCAGACTTGATAACTGTGAGCAAGAACAGTCGATTATACAAGTGTTCTTCGAGTGTATAATATTCTTAAGTTATTCCCCCTTTACCTCGTGTATGTTATTGAAGGGACGAGGCTCATAATATTACCCCCTAAGAATCGTCCACGTTAATGAGGCCAATTGATATATTTACAGTTCTCTGTGAATATCCACCGAGCTATTGTGTCTGGTATAGTGCATTAACGGTAGTCTCCTCTACACACACACACACACACACACACACACACACACACACACACACACACAGGTGTGATGGTGGAGGCAGGTGTGTCTGATGGACCAAGATGATACACTCATCACTTTCAGAAATGATGACGTGATGACTTGGTCAGCTCCTGCTGTAGTGAGGATACTGTAATGTTGTGGTTCTCACCTGTACCTGCACACCTGTATCCACGCCCCCCCTAGTGTCACATGTACCCACACACCTGTAACCACGCCCCTCTAGTGTCACATGTACCCCACACACCTGTATCCACACCCCCTTGTGTCACATGTACCCCCCACACACCTGTATCCACGTCCCCTAGTGTCACATGTATAAACACACCTGTATCCACGCCCCCTAGTGTCACATGTACCCACACACCTGTATCCACGCCCCCCCTAGTGTCACATATACCCACACACCTGTATCCACGCCCCCCCTAGTGTCACATGTATAAACACACCTGTATCCACGGCTCCCCTATTGTCACATGTACCCACATACCTGTATCCACGCCCCCCCCCTAGTGTCATATGTACCCACACACCTGTATCGACGCCCCCTAGTGTCACATATACCCACACACCTGTATCCACACCCCCCTAGTGTCACATGTACCCTACACACCTGTATCCACGCCCCCTAGTGTCACATGTACCCACATACACCTGTATCCACCCCCCCTAGTGTCACATGTACCAACACACCCGTAACTACGCCCCCCCCTTAGTGTCACTTGTACCCACACACACCTGTATCCACGCCCTTCCTAGTGTCACATGTACCCACACACCTGTAACCCCCCACCTAGTGTAAACGGTATCCACCAACAGTATTGCACGACTAATCTTCACAAGCGCTATCTACCGTAGCTCAACATTTCGCAACATTTTGGGACAAAAAATGCAACATTGTGCAAAACACACATACACACACCTGGCCATTGAGCGGTTATCATATGTTATCCCTCATACCACATACCAGTGGAGTATACTCCTCATACCAGTGGAGTATTCACATTAAACATTAGTAAACATTGTAGAGAGGAAACATACACACGAATGAGATGCGTTTGAGCCTTTAATGGCTTCTGTATCTTGCTGTATGGTGGACCAGCTGTATGGTGGACCAGCTGTATGGTGGACCAGCTGTATGGTGGACCAGCTGTATGGTGGACCAGCGATAATTACATTGAAAATTAAAGGAAATGAGTAACATCAGGAGGACCTGGTCTACAAGACCCAGCATAAGGCATCAGCTACTGTGTTCCTCCAGGAGGTGGGGGATTACTGGAAATATAACCACCAGACCAAGTGTTGTAAGTTATCACAAACCTGCCAGGTTCCTGAGATTAGTGTGGTGTGTGGTGTGTGGTGTGTGTGGTGTGTGTGGGGTGTGTGGGTGTGTGTGTGTGTGGTGTGTGGTGTGTGGTGTGTGTGGTGTGTGTGGTGTGTGGTGTGTGTGGTGTGTGTGGGGTGTGTGGGGTGTGTGTGTGTGTGGTGTGTGGTGTGTGGTGTGTGGTGTGTGTGGTGTGTGGTGTGTGTGGTGTGTGTGGGGTGTGGGGTGTGTGGGGTGTGTGGGGTGTGTGGGGTGTGTGTGGTGTGTGGGGTGTGTGGGGTGTGTGTGTGTGGTGTGTGTGGTGTGTGGGTGTGTGTGGTGTGTGTGGGGTGTGTGTGTGTGTGTGTGTGTGTGGTGTGTGGTGTGTGGTGTGTGGGGTGTGTGGTGGTGGTGTCTGTGGTGGTGGTGTCTGTGGTGGTGGTGTCTGTGGTGTGTGGTGTCTGTGGTGGTGGTGTCTGTGGTGGTGGTGTATGTGGTGGTGATGTGTGGTTATGTGTTTTGTCTGTGGTGGTGGTGTGTAGTGTCTGTGGTGGTGGTGTATGTGGTGGTGATGTGTGGTTATGTGTTTTGTCTGTGGTGGTGGTGTGTGGTGTCTGTGGTGGTGGTGTCTGTGGTGGTGATGTGTGGTTATGTGTTTTGTCTGTGGTGGTGGTGTGTGGTGTCTGTGGTGGTGGTGTCTGTGGTGGTGATGTGTGGTTATGTGTGGTGTCTGTGGTGGTGGTGTGTGGTGTCTGTGGTGGTGGTGTGTGGTGTCTGTGGTGGTGGTGTCTGTGGTGGTGATGTGTGGTTATGTGTGGTGTCTGTGGTGGTGGTGTGTGGTGTCTGTGGTGGTGGTGGTGGTGGGGGTGGAGCCAGTGTTGGCTGGGAAGGAGCCAGTGGTGGGTGGAGGCAGGCGGCAAGTAGTGGGGTTTACGATACAGCTCTCCAAACTGCAGGAGGTTGTGGCATCTGAAGCATTATCTGCTGACTGTAACGCTTGTATCCCCGACCCCCAGCCAGAGACCCACCACACCAGGGACCCACCACACCAGGGACCCACCACACCAGGGACCCACCACACCAGGGACCCACCACACCAGGGACCCACTACACCAGGACCCACCACACCAGGGACCCACCACACCAGGGACCCACCACACCAGAGACCCACCACACCAGAGACCCACCACACCAGGGACCCACCACACCAGGGACCCACCACACCAGGGACCCACCACACCAGAGACCCACCACACCAGGGACCCACCACACCAGGGACCCACCACACCAGGGGCTGCTAACCGGTCCACCTATTTACAACCACCTCGCAGGCCCACATGTCTAAAAATAGCCAATCAAATGAGAAAAATCGCAGATGACGATTGGAGCAGTGCAAGGGTTATTGACGATTGGATTTGGGTACGGGGAGAGGAGGATTAGTAGGAGAGGGAGAGGAACAAATCAGATTAAAAAGAGATAGTAAGTGGACGGAGGAAATACTGATTAGGGGGCTTTAGTACGTCGTTTATTGTGTGTTGAGGTGGGATAGTTTGCTGCCTTGTCCCTCTGACATGGAGTGGTTGTCAGTGGTGCCAGTGTTCTGGTACTGGTACTGGTGTTCTGGTACTGGTGCCAGTGTTCTGGTACTGGTACTGGTGTTCTGGTACTGGTGCCAGTGTCCTGGTACTGGTGCCAGTGTCCTGGTACTGGTGCCAGTGTCCTGGTACTGGTGCCAGTGTCCTGGTACTGGTGCCAGTGTCCTGGTACTGGTGCCAGTGTCCTGGTACTGGTGCCAGTGTCCTGGTACTGGTGCCAGTGTCCTGGTACTGGTGCCAGTGTCCTGGTACTGGTACTGGTGTTCTGGTACTGGTGCCAGTGTACTGGTGCCAGTGTCCTGGTACCGGTGCCGGTGCCAGTAATGAAGATCTTGTGATCTTGATGGTCACTGGTTCACCTCTGAATCATAACCTATCGCTTTAGACCATGTTCACATGACAATGTGGTGACTGGGATGGTGTCTGTGGTGGTGGCGAGGCATCACTTCCACCTGGCTGTTGGTGCAAGCACGTGGCTCGTTTACTTCCCTCGTCTGGGTAGCATCACTGTGTTTTCCAGCTCAGTTCGATGCTCTCACTTGCTTAATTTACGTCGTCAGTAAATTGGTTCAAAATGGTTGTAATTTATTTATTAAGATGGTAAACAGCTTAAGGCTGTTGTTGTTGTTGTTTAAGATTTGCTACTTGGAACAAAAAGTTCCAAGTAGCACGGGCTATGGTGAGCCCGTCTATTAAAGGCTGAGACAGGAGCCCTGAGGTACCCAAGCTGTGGATTAATAGCTTAGTTAAAAACATAATTACCCACCATATAAAAATTTTAATCACACAATTTTCTTTTTATATAAAATATTTCTGTAGTTATATTATTATTACAGTTGCGTTTTACAGGACGTTTTTGATTACCCTTAATTGGCTTGGATGTCTGGTTGGCAAATTAGGTCATCATTCTCAAAGCTATCAAAACATTTTGTGCACATCCCCGAGGCATTCTGGTTCTGTTGGGATGCTGTCCACTGCATGAAAGATTATGTTCATCTATGGCTATTGTACCTTGATTGTTTCTCGGTTTTGCAGGTGAAAATATATAGGTTTGTAGGTTCAAACATGGGCTTTTTGTAGGTTCAAACATGTGCTTTTTGTAGGTTCAAACATGGGCTTTTTGTAGGTTCAAACATGGGCTTTTTGTAGGTTCAAACATGTGTTTTTTGTAGGTTCAAACATGGGCTTTTTGTAGGTTCAAACATGTGTTTTTTGTAGGTGAACATATGTGGTTTCCTAGAGAGGCTATAGAAGATTCTATCTCTATCTAATCTCTACAAAACTCTATCCATTCTGTTCCCCACTGGTGCCTGGGGCTGCCCTCGACCCACTGCTTAGCCATTCCGTCTTAATTATCCTTGAAGAAGGCCCATGTGGAGGCTGGAGACGCGACGGAGTCCACCAAGATGAATACACAGACTCGGGCTAAAGTTGCGTTAGTGTGTTGGATAATAAGGAAGTGAGCAAGGCGTTGCCAAGGAGCACCAGGGCACAGACGTCGCCCTTAATACTGCCTCGGGGCGGCAGCGAAGTGAAGATAGTGCAC